GGGGAGAGCCCCAGGCTGGGGCGGCAGGGGGGTGCGGGTGGGGTGGGATGGGGGGAGAGCTCCGGGCTGGGGAGGCAGGGGGTGCGGGTGGGGGGGAGAGAGCCCCGGGCTGGGGAGGCAGGGGGTGTGGGTGCGGGGGGAGAGAGCCCAGGGCTGGGGCGGCAGGGGGTGCAGGTGGCGGGGGAGAGAGAGCGCCCAGGGCTGGAATGGCAGGGGGTGCGGGTGGGGGAGGGCACTGGTGTGTGGGGGGGGGTTAGAGCCCAGGGCTGGGGTGGGCGGCAGCCAAACATTTTTTTGCTTGGGGGCGGCAAAAAACCTAGAGCCGGCCCTGGCATGCACAATGTGGCTGAGTTAATGTTGCTGTTGCCGCCTTAGCATTGTATTTCCTGACCTTTTATTTTTCAAAGTGTGCATCCTTAATGTTGCTTTAGATGGAAATTATACACACAGTAGATATATGTGCTCAACTCACTCTGGCAGGAATGGTGGGGAAACTGCATACACCCACATGCACTCTGCACCAGTGGGGCACCGACCCCCTCCACCAACTCCCACTACATGAGGAGGGCACCGTGACACTGAGTTTAGCACGCCATAGAATTGCCTCTGGCTGAAGCTGTGTGGGGAATGCATTGAATTAGCACATCCACCACATTCCCTGGTCCTCCCCTGCTGGGCATGCTCACTGTCTGGGCTGTGTTTACTAGTTTGCCTATTGGTGTCCTATGCTACTGTGCCCCTCCCTCACTGGGGCTGAATAGAGCTGTGCAGGTGTTGGTGTGTGAGCAAGCAGGGGCTGTTTGAATGGCTAAGGTTGCAAGGTGTCTAGTGTAGAAACGGAGTTTATAAGGGAATCAGACGAGCGGGGAAGCCTTATACTGCCAGTGAATTGTGTAACTGCACGTACAGGAGCTGCAGCGCTGGGGGAGCCATAGAGAGACTTTCCTGGGCAGGCAGGACATGAAAGATGAGCTGAAGCTGCTTTCACTAGCCAGTGGTGTAAATCCTACAATCAGGGAAATTGCTTCTATTGCTAAAAATTGTGGTGGTGAAGTCCATTTATTTTTCATTTTTCTTGTGCTCTCGTGACTCCCTGGCATGAATCACTGTCTGCATGTCGATTAAATTTACACCAGACATTATCTTTCATGGCTCTAGTGCACGTATGTAAACTGTGCTTTTGGCCACTGCAATTCCGTAGCTCAGTGGTTTGCCCGTTGGTTGCGGATTGGACTGCACTCAACTCCAGGAAATCAGTCCTTTGCTAAGAAAATGCTCTGCATCGGCATCATTTGTGATGTTCATGCGTGCCTCACCGTGGGAATGAAAGCACGCTCTGTTAATACCTAGTGCTTAAGATCAGAAAGAAGGGGAGGAATGAGTCACCCCATCAAGAGCCAGTCATTCATTGGAGCCAGTCATTGGATCAAGTCTCTTTTTTCACCCCCTTCAGGAAACATGTCGGTTTCTCCACTGGTTATTTATGTGTTTGATTTTTTAAAATGGTATCATAGCTATGTGCACCTGAGGCAATTCCATCTAGTGGGTAAGGCACTGGCCTAAGCATCTGGAGACTTGGCTACTAACCTGCTGTGCAACCTTAGACAAGTCACTGTTCTGTGCCTCAGTTTCCCCTTTGTCACTGTTGTCTATTTAGATTGTAAGGTCTTTGGGGGCACGGACTGTCTCTTGCTATGTGTATGTACAGCAGCTGGCACACCTGGCACACCAGGCCCTGGTCTCATTTGGGGCAGCTGTAACTGCTACTGCAGTACTAATATATAATACATGTGACAGTAAACAAGATCAGGTTCAACCCTGCCATCAGACAAGCCATTGGGCTGTCCTCCTGCTCCTGGTGGTTGTCTCAGAAGCTATCGTGCTATAACTGCAGAGTTGGCTCGTTTTGTGAGTTAGATCTGGCCTCAGAGGGCCTGGTTCCCATCACACTTATTGTTGTATCAACTGGGCGTAACTCCAGGGAAGTCGGTTGTGTCGGTGTCAGACTGGTATGTGAGGTCAGAATCAAGCCCAGGGTATTTAATGATAGATGTTGTGAAACCTACAACAGATGTGGTGTTTTTAAACATGGGTAACAAGCTGGATTTAAACAATAGTCTGTATCCATATGCTCACTCCAACCTAGACAGCCTCCCCCACTCAGGCACCCCAGCACATTTAGTCAAATGCACACTGTGAGCTGTACACATACATACCTTTAGAGACCCCCCCACCCCATACAGACACATTCAGCTGCACCACCCCAGGCAGCCACAAACCCATTTGCACACAAAGGGACTCGCTATCAGACCCAGCTGCCCGGGTGCGAGCTGTCAGTTGCACACTGAGGCACACACTTGCTTTGGCGCACGCTCACAGTGATACTCACAGGCACACCCACACTGGCACAGATCCCCTTGCTCAGATGCACACAGGTGCAGACACTCCCCGCAGGGCACAGTCACTGGCCCAGACACACTCACGTGGCCTGAGACACACGTTTGTGTGGCAGATGCGCTCTGCCAGGTGTCATTGCAGTGTAACAGCCCTATCATGCTGAATTAATCTGGGATTCATCATGCTAGCCGTGCGCGTAATGAATTTATTTGGTATTAATGTGGATGAAATATGTACTGTCCTTGCAGGGGAAATCGCACTGCCTATAAGCATTAGTTAAAAGGACCATTAAAATCAAACCTTCCTCAGATCCATTAGGCCAGTCTTTCATGCTGAAGAAGATAGAGACTTGCTGTGTGAAATGTCATGCATAATTAGGTTGATTGCAGTTTTAAACTCTGCCCCTTCTTTCCCACCCCCTTCCCAGGCTCCTTGCACTGAGCACTCCCCTGCTGCTGAGATCTCTCCCGAGCTAGTTGGCGCATTATTCCTCACTGTTGCTCCATCCGTGTCAGAGCTGCCACTTGTTCTCCTTTCAGGCGTTTTGGTACGAAATGCACAGCCTGTCAGCAAGGAATCCCTCCTACCCAGGTGGTCCGGAAAGCCCAGGACTTTGTCTATCACCTGCACTGCTTTGCCTGTATCATCTGCAACCGCCAGCTGGCCACAGGCGATGAATTCTACCTCATGGAAGATGGGCGCCTGGTGTGCAAGGAGGACTACGAGACAGCCAAGCAGAACGGTAGGTGCTGAGCTCACCACGGAGAAGGAAAGGGGTCACGCCTAACAGGTGACACTGGGAATTCTACAACTGGAGGGTGGTCTGAGCCGGGATTATGGTTCAGCTGATTTTAGAGATTGGGGACATCTGCCAAATTCAGGGTCACGTGAGGGTGTGTTTGGATGAAGATTTTGACAGTTGGTTTGTCTATAATGTTTAGGATTTTAAGGGGCCCTGCTAGGGTCTGTTATTGAGTTAAGGAACTGTGGAATGTGGATCCAGATTCTGAACTGTATCCAGCTCCCAATGCTGTGGGGATGTTTGGTTCTGGGGCTGAACTTCAGGCTCTCATCTGGTTTTACTGTAAAATAATTTTGCTTATTCCCTGGTTCAGCAATGCACTTAAGCATGGGCCTAACTTTAAGACACAAACAGTCTCTTTGACATCAGTTGGGCCACTCATATGCATAAAGCTATACACGTGTCTAAGCGCTGTACAGCTAAATCAGGGCTCCGAGCCTCTTTTTCCTTGGATTCCTCTCCCTCCCATTTTTTTGTAACTGGGAACATTTGCAAGTAAACAGGATCTGTGTATCTTTAAGTTCCTGCTGTCTGTTGCCCACCTGAAATTCTAATCCTGCCATGGCAATGACAGTCAGGTCGAAAGGATTATAAACTCCAGTGCAGAACGGACAGCTGTTGGAGCTTGACTCTTAGAAAATAAAGATCCTGTTTGCATGGGAATGCACATAGGGCCAGACTTTTAAAGGTTTTTAGGTGCTTAGAGATGCTGATCGGTGTCTAATATGGAAAGCATGCCACCTTGAGCTGCACTCTGGTCGCATCTCCTGAACTAAACAGGGCTAGGCCTGATGAGTATTTTGAGAGGAGACCTTCAGGGAAAATCTAAGTCTTGTAGCAAGTGGTGGTGATGGGTGAGGAGCTGGTACAACTTCCTCTGGTTTGTTAAATAGAACCAACCCCCAGCACGGTGGTAGGAGGCACTGTGTGGCTGGTGGTGCTGTCTGTTGGATAAGATGCATCCGGGGTCTTCACTACGTCTGGCCATTAAAGATGCAATGAGACTTTTGCAAGGGCAAAGGGTGTTAGCGCAGGGGTCCTGGCCAAAACTCCAACGTGAGGTCATCCCCTTTCACCTTAAATTCTCCTTGTCAGAGAATTGGCAAGGGAATGTGGGTTCGTTTCCTGCCCCCAAGACACTCCTCTGTTGTGCATTGCTAAACAGTGCTGCACTTCTTCATTGCTTGGTGAAGTGACTCTTTATATACAAGGCCAAACCCTGCTCGTTCGCTACTCCCAGTGAGGTTGCCTGGGTGTAACCCTGGGGAGAATTTGCTCCTTTGTTTGTAAAGCACGTTGAGGTCCTTTGGAAGGAACGGTGCTGTCATCAATGTTAGTAAAGTAAGATAATCATTAAGTAAGACCCCAAATTTCCCTCCCCCTAGAAGCGAGTGACCTCTCAAGGGCACAGCTGTGGTACGTTGGTAGAACAATGCAGAGAAGTTTAACATTGAGAGGACAGTCCTAGGTTTGAGCCACAGGGACAGCATCGACAGCACAAACCAAATTCAGCTGGGCTGTAGGCAGGCGCAGCGCCACCCAAGGCAACGGCCTTGCACCTTACACTAGAGCTGAATTTGGCCCTAAGTTCCCATTTATCCATGTGAACCAAATGGGGCTCTAAAGAGCCAGTGGAGGTGAAAAACAAGGCTAGGGGAGGGAGGGTGAGGGAGAGACTATAGATCACAAAACAGTAATGAATCCACAGAGACGTCCCAACGGTGCCTGACTGAAATTAAAACTGAACTGGTCTTTAATGGATTTCATGTTGACAAGCCCTGACTTCTCATTAATTAAGGACTCTATTTTGACCTAATCAATTTGGTTAGGGTGATGCAATGCCTACTTGTGCTGGACGGCGGGGGGGGGCATGAATGTAATATTACTCAGATTCCATTACTGACTCCCCGAGCTAGCAATGGCCTCGGTGTCACGGTGTTTGACGGCCTAATAGCCAGTAAGAAAGAGAGGGAGACAGGCACAAAGTTTCCTGTCCAAGAGACAGGTGCCACTGTGCTGATTTCAGTGGGATTTCACCTGCGAATCTGAGAGGACTTGGGTCGTGTGGGTGCAGCCAGAGCTGTACATGGTTCTGTAAGTAAAGGACATTTTAGGCAAGACCCTTGTTCTGTGCTGGTCTCAGCCAATGCGGAGCCACACACTGCTGCCATATAGCTTTATGGTCAAAACCAAACATGGCCCCTCCCAGCTTGCAGTATTATTTCTGAAGGCCTCCGTGGCATTCGTCTGGAAAAACAGTCTACCAGCCAGAACCTGTTTTGGGCACTAAGGGGTAACCTGTCAGCTAGGAAAATGTCATTGCTACCATGTTAGAAACACACCTGGTGGGCATCACCGGGGCGGATAGAGATGTTGGAAGTGGTGCAGTTTTTCTGTCATGTAATGTTTAAATGTTATCGGGCATCCAATCTGAACAAATCAGAAAATCACCAAAAGGGTCCTAGCTCGTAGAAATATAGTTTAATTTTGACCAAAATTGGCAGAAAGTTTCTAAATACAACTGATCATGCAATGATACACTCAAACAAGTACTGTTTGGGAAAGTTCGGGAAATATTTCGCCCCAGCTGATATATTTTATCCTTTTTCCTGTACTTTTTTGCTTTCAGTTAAAGCAAAAGTCTGTAGTCACAGGACAGTATGAGCTTGTTTATATCATGTAATACATCAAAATATTTGTCATTATGTGTAGAATGTACTAATTTGAGAAAAGGTTTTCTGTCTGCTATTTTTCTGAAGTTATGCAGATAATGAGACCTCTACCCCCTAATTATAAAACATATTTTTTGATGTTCTCTGTTTGGTTAGAGCCATAAGTCTAACACACACATGGTATGTAATTATCTTCTTACTATCACTGACTACAATGACAATATATGTAAACTACTTCTAGAACAGTAATGACTTAGTAGAAGGGCTGTTGAATGTCTTGTATGAATACATTATGTGAATACCAAAGTATAACCATGTATTCTTATGTGACCCCTACATGACCTATGGAATGTTTAATGCAACACCCCTTTACGTTACCTTTACTCACAGAAATAGTCACAGTGATTTGTACATAGATGACCCATTTCTATTCCCCCTCAGAATCTGTGTCTGATGTGTCCAATACTCTGTTGCTGGACTTGTCACTGTCACAGTTGCATGCATCAGAGCACACCAGCTCTTCCCGGTGGCATTTGTATCACCTTGTTGCACAAGTACTTTCACAACTACATGGCACAAAAGTGAGCAGGTAGCAGCATCATTTGAGAAACAAGGTGTCCGTACTACCACCCATCCAGCATTGGCAGGGGACACTTGAAGATACCGAACTGTTGCATGATTCCCTATGTGTAACTGATAATTTCAGGTGCAGCCTGAAGGAGGCCAATGTTGATGACACTTTTCATAGAATCATAGAAGTGTAGGACTGGAAGGGACCCTGAAAGGTCATCGAGTCCAGTCCCCTGCCTTCACAGCAGGACCAAGTACTGTCCCTGACAGATTTTTGCCCCAGATCCCTAAATGGCCCCAGATCCCTAAATGGCCCCAGATCCCTAAATGGTTTTTCGTAACAAACAATGCATAGCACATGTTCTCCAGAGATGCTCGCTGGTTGTGCCACAATACAATAAAGAGACCAGTGAGCCATAGGCTGCTGAATCAGAAAAAGCTGCAGTTATCTGCCTTCAAATCTTGTTAGCGATACTGAGCAAGACCTGCTTGATTCAGCAACTGCTGGGTTCTTCATTAACTCTCAGGTTAGGTCGGGTCTGTCCATGCCATGAATTCAAAGTAATGGTCCTAATTTATAACACCATTCTGTCTTCTAGACTGTCGTATCATTGTGAGTGTTTCTGCTCATAGACTCATAGACTTAAGGTCAGAAGGGACCATTATGATCATCGTCTGACCTCCTGCACAATGCAGGCCACAGAATCTCACCCACCCACTCCCGTAACAAACCCCTAACCGATGTCTGAGTTATTGAAGTCCTCAAATCGTGCTCTTTGCCCTCCACGCTGTAGGTAATGGACACAAGCTTATAAAGAACAGACACACCACACCTGAGATTTCACACCTGTTCTTAAACTGGGAAGAAACCACTTTTCTTTTGCACAAATCTAGGGGGGGGGATGAGCAGTATCCCCACAGAATGTGTCTGAGTTGCCTTCCTCTGATCTGACCAACACACAGCTCCAAGCCCAACACTCTCAGCATTATTAGACTCAAAGTGGTGCTGCTGTGAGCCAGACCTAGAATGCCACCAGGCACAAGACACACCAAGGCTACAGTAGCACGTCTATTTAAAGTGCTCTAACAGCCAGTCAGGTTGACTTGGATGGTTGTAGGCTCCTAGAAGGCCTTGGGTACCAATACTGGTGCAAATTTGGGATCATGGTCAAGTAGCCCTGAGGTACAGCTCCCTTCCTCTCCTGGCAAATGACCTGTGTTTAATTTTAAAGTGCTCCAAAATGCAAATGCAGTGCCAGATTGGCTTGAGCACTGATATGCCAGCTGAAGACCTAGAATAGGGTACAATTTTGGGGGGGGGGAGGTTTTTTCTGGTGACCAGCGCCTGCCTGACCTGTTATTTTCAATGGGGCAAGTTATGGAACTCCAGCAGTGTTGAAGTTGGAGGTGCAGACAGTGCTGATGCAGCAGTGCAGTGCAGTGCTGAGCAGGGGAGTGAACTGAGACTGTGTGTGTCACAGAATTCGGGGAGTTAAGAAGGGGCACACTCAGGCCAGACCATTGGCACGTGAGCCCTAAGTCCTAGTTTTAGCACCACTGCGATCCACAAAACCCCTGCTCGGCTGCCACCCAACCCTACGTTTTTGCTCTGAAAGTTCCCTCGGTGCCTATTGTTCTGCTTCTGAGCATGAGTCCAACTGCCTCATGCTAGGCACCAGCAGCTTAGCTCATGCCTAA